GGAGCTGCTGAGGAGCCTCATGGTCCATCCCTGGATTCTCCAAGCACTGACTCCCCATCCACTCTGACCACAGCCAGGGCCACCGCCTGCCCAGCGTCCATCCATGGAGGCGACCACCGTGTCCTCATCTCCTGCCTCACCAACTGAAGGAGACAATGTCTGTGAGACAGATGTCACCAGCGTGGCCATACACAGTGTGTCACTGCTCATCTGCCTCTGTGGGCTGGCCGGGAACGGGGCTGTGCTCTGCTTCCTTGGCTCCCGCTGTTCATCCAGGAGCACAACAACCCATTTCATCCTCGTCCTGACTTTTTTGGATTTCCTCTGCCTCCTCTTTCTGTTGCCCTCCTCTCTGCTCTTCCTGCTGGAGAATGTGTCCTGCTCTATCATCCTGCCCATGCAGTACGTGGTGATTCTTTTCCAGATGTTATCGGCGTCATACAGCATGTGGCTCTATGTGCTGATACTTATCAGCATCAGGAGGTGTAGCTCCATCCACTGCCCTCTCTGGCACTGCTGCCACCGTCCCCAGAACCTGTCATGGCTGGTGCATGCCCTGCTCTGGGCCTTCCTCATCACTCTCATCATTGTCTGTACCACAAAGCTTTCTCTGTGTGCTTTCCAGGTATCGGAACACTGCCAGTTTTCTCTCATCTCCATATACACCTTCAACCTTCTCCTCTGTGCTCCCTTTGTGCTCATTTCCATCACAATCCTCTTCATTAAGGTCAAGCCTGGCTCCCATCAGCAGCAACCCAAGAGGCTGGACATTGTTATTTGCATCATTGTGCTCCTCACTCTGCCCCACAGCCTCTGGAACTTACTGCAGCACCTCAGTTACACCATTGTGCCCTCCCAGCTTGTTTTCCTGCTCAACTGCATCAACAGCAGCATCAAACCCTTCATCTACTTCTTGGTAGGGAGGTGCTGGAGGCCCTGCTCTGTGGGGTCCATCCAGCTCTCCCTCCAGAGAGTGTTTGAGGAGCCAGAAGAAAACAGTGCCCACAGAAATGATCCTGCCATGGACACAGTGCTGTGAGTCTGTTGATCCTTCCCACTGCACTGCTGAGAGACCCCTGGACAATGGCTGAGGGATTCCTTGACTGACCTGATCAATAAATCCCCACAGGATCACCCTCCCTGTGCTGGTGCATCCCCCACCCCCTTTCCAGCCCGCACTGGGCTCTGATCCGTGCTTGGGAGGCCTCAGCCTTGAGGAGCAGCCCCTGGGCTCAGCTCCTCTGGCGCTGATCACAAACACCCTCTGCTCCCAGGAACTGCTGCTGTCCAACCACTTCCTGGGCTTTTATCAACAGCCTTGGCAATTCTTTCACTTCCCTGGATGCCACAGCATCCCTGCTCTCACG